GACACTATCCAATCCCTCCTGACAGATGGCCATCCAAGCTCTGCTAATAATAATAGTAATAATAATAATAACAACAATAATAATAGGATCCCAGAGTTGGAAGAGACCCCAAAGGCCATCTAACCCAGACCCCAAAGGCCATCTAGTCCAACTCCTTCCTGTCACATAGGAAGACATCATCCAATCCCTCCAGACAGATGGCCATCCAAGCTCTGCAAATATTATTATTATTATTATTATTATTAATAATAATAATAATAGGATCCCAGAGTGGGAAGAGACCCCAAAGGCTATCTAGTCCATCCCCTATCTGTCATGTAGGAAGACACTATCTGATCTCTCCCGACAGATGGCCATCCAAGCTCTGCTAATAATAATAATAATAATAATAATAATAATAATAATAATAATAATAGGATCCCAGAGATGGAAAAGACACCAAAGGCCATCTAGTCTGACCACTATCTGCCATGTAGGAAGACACTATCCAATCTCTCCCGACAGATGGCCACCAAAGCTCTGCTAATAATAATAATAATAATAGTATCCCAGAGTTGGAAGAGACCCCAAGGGCCATCTAGTCCATCCCTTATCTGTCATGTAGGAAGAAACTATCTGATCTCTCCCGACAGATGGCCATCCAAGCTCTGCTAATAATAATAATAATAATAATAATAACAGGATCCCAGAGTTGGAAGAGAGCCCAAAGGCCATCTAGTCCAACCCCTTCCTGCCACGTAGGAAGACATCATCCAGTCTCTCCCGACAGATGGTCATCCAAGTTCTGCTAATAATAATAGTAATAATAGCATTAATAATAGTATGCCAGAGTTGGAAGAGAGCCCAAAGGCCATCTAGTCCAATCCCTATCTGTCATGTAGGAAGACACTAATCAATCTCACCCGACAGATGGCCATCCAAGCTCTACTAATAATAATAGTAATAATAATAATAATAGAAATAATAATAATAGGATCCCAGAGTTGGAAGAAAGCCCAAAGGCCATCTAGTCCATCCCCTATCTGTCATGTAGGAAGACACCATCCAACCCTTACTGACAGATGGCCATCCAAGCTCTGCTAATAATAATCATAATATTGATGATAATAATAATAATAATAATAATAATAATAGGATCGCAGAGTTGGAAGAGACCCTAAACACCATCTAGTCCAACCACTATCTGCCATGTAGGAAGACACTATCCAATCCCTCCCGACAGATGGCCATCCAAGCTCTGCTAATAATAATAATAATAATAATAATAATAATAGGATCGCAGAGTTGGAAGAGGCCCAAAGGATCATCTAGTCCATCCCCTATCTGTCATGTAAGCCCATCTAATCCCTCCCAACAGATGGCCAACCAAGCTCTGCTAATACTACTACTACTAATAATAATAGGATCCCAGAGTTGGAAGAGGCTCCAAGTCCAACCCCTATCTGCCATGTAGGAAGACATTGCCCAATCTCTCCCAACAGATGGCCATCCAAGCTAGAATATTAATATTAATAATAATAATAATAATAATAATATCCTAGAGTTGAAAGAGACTCCAAGGACCATCTAATCCAACCCCTATCTGCAATGTAGGAAGACACCATCCAATCCCTCCCAACAGATGGCCATCCAAGCTATAATAATAATAATAATAATAATAATAATAATAATAATAATAATAATAATAGAGTTGGAAGAGACCCCAAGGGCCATCTAGTCCAACCCCTTTCTTTCTGACATGTAGGATGGCACCATTCAATCTCTCCCGTCAGATGGCCATCCAAGCTCTGCTAATAATAGAATCCTAATAATAGAATAATAATAGAATCCCAACTTTAGAATCCTAAAGTTGAAAGAGACCCCAAGTGACATCTAGTCCAACCCCCTTCTTTTTGCCAGGCTGGAAAAAGCATATCTTCATAATTCTCTGATGTGAATTTTTATCCGAGGCTGGATGGGCCTCTGTTGGAACGGATCGGACTGTGTCCAGGCTCGGATGGGATGATCCCTGGGGTCTCTTCCAACTCTCGGATCTAGAGAAGGGTTACCAAAAGGTCAAAGGCCTGGAAACCCTGATTGAATCCCTATAAGGAGTGGTTTGTGTTCATCTTGGAGAAGAGGTGGCTAAGGGGACAGGAGAGCTTTCGGATAGGGAAACGCTGGGCTTCTCAAGGCAGACGGAGCCTTCTCTGTGGAGGATCCCCAGCAACAAGGCCGAGGCTGGAGGAACGCCAACCCACGTCATTCACAACCGAAGGAGAGAAATAGCACATATGGCAGAATTCGCACTCCTCCTGCCTGCAAGCCCTCCCTTGCGTGCCTTGGTTTCCCATGTGAGGATGCCACCCTCATTCCCCCTCCTCTGTATCCCAAAAGGTCATCCAGTCCAACCCCATTCTGCCACCATCCAATCCCTCCCAACAGATGGCCATCCAGCATCTGATGATGGTGGTAATAATAATAATAGAATATTAAGACCATCTAGGACCATCTCCAAGGACCATCTAGTCCAACCCCTTTCTGTCATGTCGGAAGACATCATCCAATCCCTCCAGACAGATGGCCTCCATGCTCTGCTAATAATAGTAATAATAATAGTACCCTAGAGTTGGAAGAGATCCCAAAGGGCATCTAGTCCAACCCCCTTCTGCCAATTAGGAAGACACCATCCAATCCCTCCCAACAGATGGCCATCCAGCCACTGACAATAATAATAGTAGTAGTAGTAGTAGAATACTAGAATGGGAAGAGACCCCAAAGGCCATCTAGTCCAACAAACTTCTGCCAATTAGGAAGACACCATCCAATCCCTCCCAACAGATGGCCATCCAGCCACTGACAATAATAATAATAATAATAATAATAATAATAATAATAGAATACTAGAATGGGAAGAGACCCCAAAGGCCATCTAGTCCAACCCCCTTCTGCCAGGTAGGAAGACACCGTCCAATCCCTCCAGACAGATGGCCATCCAGCCACTGACAATAATAATAATAATAATAATAATAATAATAATAATAACAACAACAACAACAACAATAATAGTAGAATACTAGAATGGGAAGAGACCCCAAAGGCCATCTAGTCCAACCCCCTTCTGCCAATTAGGAAGACACCATCCAATCCCTCCCAACAGATGGCCATCCAGCCACTGACAATAATAATAATAATAATAATAATAATAATAATAATAACAACAACAACAATAATAATAGCAGTAGTAGTAGTAGTAGAATACTAGAATGGGAAGAGACCCCAAAGGCCATCTAGTCCAACCCCCTTCTGCCAATTAGGAAGACACCATCCAATCCCTCCCAACAGATGGCCATCCAGCCACTGACAATAATAATAATAATAATAATAATAATAATAATAATAATAACAATAACAACAACAATAATAATAGCAGTAGTAGTAGTAGTAGAATACTAGAATGGGAAGAGACCCCAAAGGCCATCTAGTCCAACCCCCTTCTGCCAATTAGGAAGACACCATACAATCCCTCCCAACAGATGGCCATCCAGCCACTGACAATAATAATAATAATAATAATAGTAGTAGTAGTAGTAGCAGAATACTAGAATGGGAAGAGACCCCAAAGGCCATCTAGTCCAACCCCCTTCTGCCAGGTAGGAAGACACCATCCAATCCCTCCTAACAGATGGCTATCCAGCCTCTGACAATAATAATAATAATAATAATAATAATAATAGGATTAGTCGAAAACTAGAATCAGAAGAGACTCCAAAGGCCATCTAGTCCAATGTCCTTCTGCCATGTAGGAAGAGGCCATCCAGCCTCTGCTATTATATTTGTTGTTATTGTATTATTAATATAATATTGTTGGTAGCCATTGTTGTTGTTGTTGATGATGATTATATGTTTTTTCTCTCCACAAAGGACACTCCAAGTGGCTGTGTATCCATTATTATTATTATTATTATTATTATTATTATTATTATTATTATTATGTATTTGCTTTTTCTCTCCACAAAGGAGACTCCAAGTGGCTGCATATCCATTACGTTATTATTATTATTATTATTATTATTATTAACACAACAAGATCACACGCTGGACACTTCCCATAATAATATGCTTTTTCTCTTCACAAAGAAGACTCCAAATGGCTGTGTATCCATTATGTTATTATTATTCTATTATTCTATTATTTATATGCTTTTTCTCTCCTCAAAGAAGACTCCAAGTGGCTGTGTATCCGTTATATTATTATTATTATTATTATTATTATTATTTATATGCTTTTTCTCTCCACAAAGAAGACTCCAAGTGGCTGTGTATCCATTATATTATTATTATTATTATTATTATTATTATTATTATTATTATTATTATGGGAAGAATGGCCACCAAAAGCCCACCACTCCCTATTGGAGACCATTGCTTCCCATTATTATTATTATTATTATTATTATTATTATTATTATTATTATTATTATTATGCATTTCCTTTCCACAATGGAGAGTCCAAGTGGCTGTGTATCCATTATTATTATTATTATTATTATTATCATTATTAATATGCTTTTTCTCTTCACAAAGAAGAATCCAATTGGCTGTGTATTGATTATGTTATTATTATTCTATTATTTATATGCATTTTCTTTTCACAAAGGAGACTCCAAGTGGCTGTGTATCCATCATCATCTATTATTATTATTATTATTATTATTATTATTATTATATATATTATTATTATTATTATTTATTATTATTATTATTATTATTATTATTATTTATGATGCCATGGAACCCAGTTCAAAGCAGAGGGCTTGCCTGACCGCCCTTCGGGTCCCGGCAGGGGGCGCTGTTTCCTTTCCCTGGGCGCCGCCGAGCTTTGTCCAATGGGCTCCGCGTTCTCCCGGGGGGGCGTGGCTTGGCGGAGGCTGGGGCCAATGGGAGCGTGCCCAGGAGCAGCGAGCCCGGTCTCCTGCTTGTGCTGCTGCTGCAGCTGCAGAGGCTCATGAGGCGGAGTGGCGGCAGGTGCGCCTCTCTCTCTCTCTCTCTCTCTCTCTCTCTCTCCTATGATGTGCCTGGAGAGCGAGGGCGGAGGGGCGGCGGGGGCCACAACGGGGGCCCCCCATTGCAACACCCACAGCAGTGGGCGACGCCAGAGGGTCTCTTCCTCCGCCCTGGGAGACGATGAAGAGGAGGACGACGGAGGAGGAGGAGGAGGGGGAAGAGGAGAGGGGATGAAGGCTCCTGCCACCACTGCTTGTGCTGCTGCTCCTTCCTCCTCCTCCTCTTCCAGCCATGGCGGGCTCAATGGGAGCCTGGGCAAGGCGCGCGTGGCCGCCGCAGCCATCCTCAGCGCAGGAAACGTCCTCAATTACCTGGACAGGTACACCGTCGCAGGTGAGGCACAGCAACATCAGCAGCAGCCCCAGCTTCTCTCCCCACCCCCTCCTCAACAATTAACATTAATGAATTAAATTCTGAATTAATTTTAACAAATTAGCTTTATTTAAACATATTTGATAAACAACAATCTAATTAATTCTTTAAAACATAATATATATATTTAATTAATATTTTCTATAAACATCCATTCATTTATTCATATTTTATTTATTTATTTATTTACGTTCTATGTTATTTATTTATTAAAATTCAATAAAGATTATTATAAAAAAACTTATAATTATAACTCAAATTATAACATTTTATTAAATAATGAACTTAATTTCCCACATTGATTCAGTCAAATTATTACTACAATCCCTGCCTAATACTTATAAGTACATCAATCCTAAGTTTTTTTAATTACGTTTATTACTTCACACTATTCAATCAACAATCAATCATAACTATTAATTACGTAATAAATACTTGATTTAAATTATTACTGTAAAGGCTCAACTTTAATACAAGCCAGTTATATTACTTAATTCTCATCCTTTTTTAATTATTCTTAAATTACCTATTATATTCTAAATTAATCTTACAGTCCTTAACTTATCTTAATACTTCTTATTTAATTTTTACTTACCCTACATACCAATAAATAATATACATTCCTAATGACAATGAATTCCCTTCCTCACTTCCTACACTTCTTTATTTAATTTTATTCTCCATCATTTATCTCCATCTTCTACCCACTTACTTCCATTTCTACTTTTACATCTCAATAAGTACATCATTTTCCCCTTCATCCTCCACGCTTTCCATCACATAACCTAAATTTTTACATTCTCTTCTTCAATTAAAATATTTAACCCTACCTCTACATCCGCGCAATTCATTCGCTTCCTTCCTTTTCTTCTTCTTTCTTTTTTCTTCCTTCCTTCCTTCCTTCCTTCCTTCCTTCCTTCTTTCCTTCCCTCCTTCCCTTCCACCCTTTTGTCCTTCCTTCCCTCTTTCCTCCCTCCTCCCTCCTTCCTTTCCTTCCTTACCTCTCTCTTTCTCCCTCTTTCCCTTCCACCCTTTCATCCTTCCTACCTTCCCTCCTTTCTTTCTTTCTTCCTTCTCTCTTTCCCTCTTCTTTCCTTCCTTCCTCCTTTTCTTTCTTTCTTTCTTTCTTCCCTTCCCCTCTTTCCCTCCCTCCCACCTTTCTTTTCTTTCTTTCTTTCCTCCATTCCTTCCCCCTATTATTATATGTACCATAATAATATATGTATTATAATTATTTTAATAATAATATTGCTTATATATATATATATATATATATATATTACTATTGTTAATACTATTTTCACCATTATTTATACCCCACATTTTTTTCTCTCTCTCTCCACAATAATATATATAATATATATAATTATTATATATTAATATATATTATTGTTATTACTATTATCATCATTATTTACACCCCACATATTCTCTCTCCACAAAATGTAATATGTATCCATTATTATATTATCATACTAATATTATTATATATTATTTGTTATTAATATTATCATTGTTATTTGCACCCCACATTTTTCTCTCTCTCTCCACAAAATGTAATATGTATCCATTATTATATAATAATATATTATATATTAATATATATAATTGGTATTACTATTATCACCATTATTCACACCCCACATTTTTTCTCTCTCTCTCCACAAAGGCTATGTATCTATATTATCATAGTAATATTATTATATAATAATAATATAATAATATATTATTATTATTTATTATTATTATATATTATTATTATTTATGCATCACCTTTTCTATCCACAAGGGAGACATCAAGTGGCTGTGTATCCATTATTATTATTATTATTATTATTATTATTATTATTATTATTATTATTATTATATTTATGATAATAAAAACAACAATTTATTATTATTATTTGGCCACCACTTTTCCTACCAACAAAGGAGACTCTAACTGGCTTTGTATCCATTATATTATATTATTTATACTCCACTTTCTCCACCACCAAAGAGACTCAAAGTGGCTATGTATCCATTATTATTATTATTATTATTATTAACCACTTTTTCTATCCGCAAAGGAGAATCCCAGTGGCTGTGTATCTAAGTGGTTATATATCTATTATTATTATTATTATTATTATTATTATTATTATTATTCTATTCACAAAGGAGACTCCCAGTGGCTGTGTATCTAAATGGCTCTATATCTATTATTCTTGTATTATTATTATTATTATCATCAATATATTTATACCCGACTTTCTCTCTCCACAATGGAGACTCCACGTAGTAATGTATCCATTATTATCTTATTATTATTTTATATTATTATTATTATTATTATTATTATTATTATTATTTATACACCACTTTTTCTATCCACAAAGGAGGCACAAAGTGGCTATGTATCCATTATTATTATTATTATTATTATTATTATTATTATTATTGCTATATTATTATTATTATTATTGCTATATTATTATTATTATTATTCTGTCACAAAAACACAGTATGTCCCAGCTACTGAGATCTCTATGCTGGATTTCGTATCACAAAATCACAAGTCGAACACTTCCCAAGTGTCTAGGACTGTGTGATTTATTATTATTATTATTATTATTATTTTTATTTATTTATTTATTTATTTATTCACCACTTCTTTTCTCCACAAAGGAGACTTGAAGTGGGTATGAATTATTTATTTATTTATTTATTTATTTATTTATTTATTTATTTATTTGTACCCCACTTTTTCTATCCACAAAGGAGTGGCTGTGTATCCATTATTATTATTACTATTATTATTATTTACTCTCTCTCTCTCTCTCTCTCTCTCTCTCTATATATATATATATATATAGTTTTTACTATTATCACCATTATTTACACCCCACATTTTCTCTCTCTCTCCACAAAGGAGACTCTAAATGGCCATGTATCCATAATTATATTATATTAATATTAATCTATAATATAATAATAATAATAATTTCATATATGTTATTGTTATTACTATAGTAATAGGTTTTTCAAAGGTTTCCCCCTCTTTCTATCCACTCTTTCCTCTCTCCTTCCCTTCCCCACCATTTATTTCTCCCTTCCTATTCTTCCTCCCTTCCCTTCTTTTCCTGTCTATCCCTCCTTCCTTCCTCCCTTCCCTTCCCTTCCTTTCCTCATTCTTTCCCTCTCTCGTCCTTTCCTTCTTCCCTTTCTCTCCTTCTCTTTTCCTTCCTTTCTCTCGCTCCTTCCCTCCTTCCTTTCCCATCTTCTTTCTCTCCTGCTACCTCTCTCTCATCCTTTCTTCCTCTCGCCTTCCTGCTTCCTCTCCTCCACCTCCCTCTTTTCTCCTTCCCCCCTTTTTTAATCTCAATGGCTGTGCATTGGGGCTTGGTGTGTGTGTGTATGTGTGGTTGTGTGGGGGGGAAGAAGCACGTTGTGTTCACAAATGTCATTAAGACTGCTGGCGCAGTGGCGTTGCGCTATTGTCTTCCCTCTTCGTGGCAAGGAGGACAAATTGACCTTTGAGAGATCGGCCTCATTGAAGGGGCCGGACCACCAATCCCGGTATAATAATAATAATATTATAATATATTATAATATATATTTTATATTATTATATAAAATATAATAATAATAATAATAATAATAATAATAATAATAATAATAATAATAATAGATCCCAAGTGTAGATTCTGCAAGGAAGCAGACGAAACGATAGATCACATTGTCAGCTGCTGCAAGAAGACAGACTATAAGCGGACAGACTATAAGCAGAGGCACAACGCCGTTGAACTTTTGCCACAAATACCATCTTGCACCCAAGAACAATTCACCACAAGGAGGGGAAGGATATTATTATTTAATTTATTATTATTATTATTATTTGAAACACAACAAGATGAGTCCGCAGCAAACAAGATCACTCTGCTGGCTGTTGTATCGGGTCACTCGTCGGACCCTTCCCAAGTGTCTAGGACTGTGTGATGTATCAGCGAATAATTATTATATTATCATAATAATATTATATTATTATTATTATGTATCGGCGAATAATCATTATATTATCATAATAATATATTATTATTATTATGTATCGGCGAATAATCATTATATTATCATAATAATATTATATTATTATTATTATGTATCGCGAATAATTATTATATTATCATAATAATATTTTTTTATTATTTATGCACCCAATGCGTGCAGATCCCAGTGAGGTGGCCATTTGGTAATTTTGTCAGCGCCGATTGTTTTTAAGTCCAGGCCAGGGTCTTGAGGCACTGCACCCAGTGTGCCGATCACTACTGGGACCACCTTTATTGGCTTGTGCAGTTCGATCTTTAAATCCTCGTATCGTATCAGCTTTTCCAGTTGTTTCTCTTCGGTCCTGCTGTCTCGCCTGGGATTGCAACATCGACAATCCATACTTAACAACAGGAGTATTGTGCTCCATAACTCTGAATTTGGAAGTCCCAGAGTAGTTTGACGTGTTCATTTTCTGTAACTTTTCTGGCTTGTGATCCCACCAGTTCTTTGTGATTTGGGATTTGTGGCACAGGGTCCAATGGATCCTCTGAGCAATGGTGTTGGGCCTCTGTTTGTAGTCTGTCCATGCAATCTTCTTGCAGCTGAGGTTGTGCTCCATTGTTCCCTCTGCTTCCTTGCAGGGTCTACACTTGGGATCTGTCCTCGACTTTTCAATTCTGGCTTGCATGACGTTGTTTCTAATGGCTTCTTCTCGGGTGCAAGATAGTATTTGTGGCGCAAGTTCAACGGTGTTGTGCCTCTGCTTATAGTCTGTTTGCGCAATTTTCTTGCAGCAGCTGACTATGTGATTTATCGTTTCGTTTGCTTTCTTACAGAGGCAATACTTGGGATCTGTTGTTGCTGTTATTATTATATTATATATTTTATATAATAATATAATATATATTATATGTTATAATATTACTATATATATT